GAAATAGTTTGAAATGGTACTTCATTTCTGTTCGGTAGGTTTAATTAACCCGAACAGTGTGTTTTTGTTTTCTGTTTAGAATAGCTGGAGAAAAATTAATGGGTAGGGGTTGGCAGCTGGCCGAGGGCGTACGCCAGGCGCCGAGAGAGTGGATGTGTGAGAGATAGAGAGACAGACAGACAGAGAGCGAGAGGCAGACAGACAGAGCGAGGGACAAACTGACGGAGGCAGAGGGGAGACATCCTGTGAATTTATTATGCTGAAAGTAGTGACAGCAGGGGGGAGTATGAAACGCGGGACAGTGGAACAAAAACAGCAATTGCATGCGTTTTTCCTGATAATATGACTTCCCAGTTCCCATCCGGCCTCGCTTAATTTCTAAGGTAACGAATGCACAAAATTGGTATAAATCCCTCGGAGCAAACCTTTTCAGGCTCCCCCCCCCTCCAAAACTGAACTCTATCGGCTACTGCGGAATAGCCACGTAATAGTCTACAGAGCAGTAGGTAGCAGTATCAGTTTATTGAGGGAAAGATAGGCGAAGGTCTTTGAACTCCCTGTTGGTAACAAGCTGATAGATAATAAATAAATACAAAGAAAAATTTAAATATTACGTCAATTACATGCTCCGGGCAGACACCAGAGTTGTAGGGTAGTCAAAGAGTAACAAAATATGACAGAAAAATATGACTACTTGCAAATCACGAGTAGTATAATTGGATGCAGTGTTTTTACGTGGTTTGTATGTGTGCTTGATACATGTCCAGTCTACTCTTAAAGGAATTAGCACAAATGGAAGGGACAACCTCTTCAGGAAGGGCGTTTCACACTGCAATTACTCTGTTGCTGAAGAACTTTCGTCCGTCGGTTCTTGCTTTGCAGGAGCGTGGTTTAAGGGGATGCCAGCACAAAGTTGGCGTATAAGCCTGGGCGAAGAAATCGTTGGGAACTAATAAACAATCCAGGTTATTCATAATACGGAAGATATGTATGAGGTCCCCTTGAAGTTGTCTGTAGGAAAGGGGAAATAGGACGAGGGTTGACAGTTTTCTTTCATAGGGCAGTGTTCCTAGACCTTTGACCATTTTTGTCGCTCGCCTCTGCACCTTCTCTAAGACGGTACAGTCTTTGACAGTGCAATGTCTCCATGCTTGTATAGCGAATTCCAGGTGCGGCCGAAGGAAGCTTCCAAAGATTTTGGAAAAGCTGTCTTTTT